CTCTGCAGAACGACGCGCGATGCGGCCATTAGTCTAACTGGACAAAACGCTCATCAACCCACGCCTAGAAAAATCGCAACTCCTCACTCGGATTCTTGACACCGCGACCCCAGGACACATAATCAAGCGCATCCCTGAGCACTCGGCCATACGCGCGACCTCTTTGCTGACCGGTGACAAACGTCGCATCGCGACCAGGAACGGCAACCTACTCCCGCAGGGGCGTCGGCTCAAACTCCTCCTCCGATACGCTGTTCATCGAATAGTTCTCGGGGGCGCCCGGAAGCCCCTCGCCCGCCTCGCCAGCCTCCGACGAGGTCTGGGCAGCGCGAGCCGCGGTCGTACGCTCGCGCTCGGGGCCGCGAGCCAAAATGGCATTGGGCGGCAGGGCGCCCTCGAAGAAGCAGCTCTCGCAAACACGCTCCTCCACAAGGAAAAGCAAAAGGAGGTCGCGGCATGCGGCGCGTCATTGGCGTCGCGATGATAATGACGAGTGGTGGGTGGTACCGCAACAGATCCTGCGGGCGCGAACTGTCCGTCGTCGCCACCCTCGCGCAGCGGGAGCGGTCGCTCACGAGCGCGCGCTATCATGGCCGTCTTGGGTTTGCCCTTGCACTCGGGGCCCCCAAGCCAGCGACCAATCTCATCACACGTCTTGCAACTCGATCGTCTCTTGATTTCCCAAGGGCGAGCCTTGCGCCTGTCCAGCGTCGGCGATCCCTTGCCACCGCCCATGGTCGATGACCAGTGCCAGCGGCGACCCTTTCCTTTGCTACTCTCGCCCCTACCCTCGGCACCTGGGTCGTCTGTCAAGTCGTCTCCGCGTTGCTGGATCATCTCAGAAGCCAATTCTTCCGCGCAGCCGTGATCGACCATTTCCTCCGTTACATCGGCGCCCAGTTCTTCTCCGCACGGCGTAGATGTCCAGCATCCGCGGGGCTCGCTGCCCAGGTGTCTGCCCACCAAGATTCGTCGCTCCGACCATATTCATGCGTCAAGCCGGACGCGCAGTAACCGTAGGGACTCAACTCCACGGGGCAACGCCACCCCTGCTCATACCAGCTGTCGTCAGCAGCGCGGCACGCCTGCGGTGGCCTAGAGTACCTGGCCCTGCCCTTGCCTTTGATAGGGTTCGGTGTCCACTGAGTGAAGGTGGAGCTCTTGCCCGAGTCTCCCCTGCCCTATTGGCGGATGTGGATACGACCGTGCTGGAGGATCCAGGCCCCCTTGATATTGTCGAAATTGGTCACATTGCCCGTTGAGGTCATTACCATCAACTCCCCCGAAGGCGAAAGCCCCGCATGGTCTAAGAAAAAGAGATCTAAGCACGTCGCCACTCATCATGAAGTTAGGCCCGAATTCAGGGACAAGCTTCCGCCAACTTGCTGCGCGATAGGCACGGGGCCATAGACTCACCGCTGTGCTGGGACATTGGCCCATGGGATCTCTGTCCGACTTGGAAGAGGATCGCGGCTTCCTGGGCCCCTTGTGGAGAAGAGCGAGGTACGGATCGTCTGCATCAGCAGATCGATGCCTGTCATAATCAAGAGCGTATCCTTGCCGATATCCACGGCCATATCGAACGTATCGCCTCTGAGGCCCTCTATCACCTTACTGACGGCTGCTGTGACAGCGCGGGGTCGCGGGCCCCCCTTTGCAGGATCAACGGCGGCCAGGGAGTAGCTCTCACGCGCATCTCCATGCGGAATTCCCATTCATGGAATTTGGTCACTGCACGGTCATAGACGTAGAAGCCAATGTTCGTACCCTATCTTGTCAGTGAGTCGGCACGTTGGGCATGACGAAGGAAAGACAGTGCCATGGCGCAGGCAAGTGAACAGGCATATAGCAAGACAGCCGGAAAGTCCCCTTGCATGAATGACTGCTCAAGCAAGTACGACGCACGATGTGATGGCCGCGAGAAACGTTCTCTAGAGAGACGAGTCCTGCGCGGTGTTGCGGTCGCCGAAAACCGCGCGGAAGGCTCCGCTGCCAGTGTAATTGATGATGATTTTTGCGCCCTGGCAAAAGGGACCCCTGAGGGTCAAACGGCAGCGAATGGCGCACGTGCGCGTCATGCATGCACACAGACACACACTATAGCACAGCTTCTCTTCCATTCCCTGAACTTGGTCCTGTCGCCCGATGATGCTTTTCAAAATGCTGAACCGCCTCGTACTCGCTCACGGGCTTGCTTCCACCTCCTCCGGCCCTGGTGTTTCTAGCAAACTGCATGGCCTCCGCGATCTTGGTAATATGCTCCGAGGCGTTCGCTTGACGTTGGAAGTCCGTCATACTGCGTTCAGTCCGGTTGCTGAACTGCTCCTCGCAAGGGTTCACATTCGAGATCAAAAGAGCATTGATCGTGTAGGTCATCTGCAGCACTCTGAACGCCTCGTCATTGTCAATGTTTCTGGTGCCCGGCGTAGCGCTACGTCCGAAAGATAACCTCATCCCTTCATGGTTGGCCTTGGGCGCCGTGTTAACGTACCTGACGTCTCCGTTCTCGCAACCGGCATTACACATTTCGGCGAACTGGCTCGTGCTCAGGTTGTACCACGCCTCTCGGACCTCGGAGAAAGTCACGTCGAACCCTGGGTCCGCTGTACTGGGTTCGGTAAAGCCGTCGCGGGAGCCGAGGTCATGGCAGAGAGGCGAGTGCTTCGCGGGTTTGACCACATGCGCTGGGAACTGTCGGGCGGACGACGGGTTCCACTACCATGAAAAATATCAGGGGCCTTTTTCCTTTGAAGACGTACGCGACTTGAGCAAACGGCGTCGGTGGCGACGACAGCCCAGAAGCAAAACAACTGCATAAAGCACCTGCTCACCCAGTCGGACCGCCATCAGCGACCACCCCCTTCTCCTCCTCTTCGTGCTCCTCCTCCTCCATCCTCCTCACTCCTCCTCCTCCTCCTCCTCCTCCTCACCTCCTCCTCCTCCTCCTCCTCCTCCTCCTCCTCCTGGCGGCACCGAGGACCCCCGCAAAGGACGGCGATGGCAACGACGACCACCACGACAACCACGACCACGACCACGACGACGGCGACGACCGCGACCACGGCGACGACGACGACGACGACGGCGACAACCATGACGACGACGAGTACGAGGACGACGGACGACGGACGACGAACGACGGACGGACGACGAACGACTGACGACGGACGACGGACGACGAACCACCGCCACCACCACGACCCCTGGCCGCCGCGCTCCGCCGCGCGCCGCGCGCGAGGGCCAGCGCACGGCATCGCCGCCATCCCCATCCTCCCGCCTGCCTGTGTCAGAACTCGCCAGGCAGTTCCCCCGTTTAGGCTACGGACCTTGCGAACGTTCGCCACCGCTGCGACTAGAAGTTCGACCTTGTGCGGGGGCCTGGAAATTGGCACCAACACCAACACAGGAAGTTGCCTCCACCTGGGGAAGATCATCCAGGATGTTGGTGCTGGTGGCTGGATCTCTCGGCGACCTGAGAAGCCCATTACCACCACCACCGAGATCTCGATCACCTTCCTTCGTTGGAAGCAACCGCTAAGCCTCCAAGCCTCCAGCTTGAGGTCACCCCCCTCCCGTCTCCCCCAGATTCAAAGCATGCTCCAGATTGTTTCATCCTTGCGCCCGCTCGCGGCTAATTTTGAATCCTAGGGGAGGCGCAAAAGTTCGGTCCTCCCCGACCCCACCCTCCTTCGAGCCCTCAATCATCGATACTCCTCCCCCCACTCCCCATCCCCCTGCCCCTCCCCCTCCCCCTCTCCCTCCTCCTCCTTCTCCTCCTCCTCCTCCTCCTCCTCCTCCTCCTCCTCCTCTTCCTCCTCCTCAGCATCCTCATCAGCAGCAGCATCATCACCATCATAATCATAATCATAATCATAACCATAATCAGAATCATCATCATCATCATCATCCTCATCATCATCATCATCATCATCATCATCATCATCATCATCATCATCATCATCATCATCATCATCATCATCATCATCATCATCATCATCATCATCATCATCATCATCATCATCATCATCATCATCATCATCATCATCATCATCAACCTCAACATCAACATCAACATCAACATCATCGTCATCATCAGCAGCAGCAGCACCAGCATCATCATCACCCATCATCAGCAGCATTATCATCATCCTCATCACCATCATCCTCATCATCATCATCATCATCATCATCATCATCATCATCATGATCATCATCATCATCATCATCATCATCATCATCATCATCATCATCATCATAATCATCATCATCATCTTCATGATCATGATCATGATGATCATCATCATCATCATCATCATCATCATCATCATCATCATCATCGTCATCATCATCATCATCACCATCATCATCAGCATCAGCATCAGCATCATCCTCATCATCATCATCATCACCGTCATCATCATAATCATCATCATCCATCATCAGCATCATTATCATCATCCTCATCATCCTCATCATCATCATCTTCATGATCATGATCATGATCATCATCATCATCATCGTCATCATCATCATCATCAGCATCAGCATCAGCATCAGCATCATCCTCATCATGATCATCACCACCACCACCATCATCATAATCATCATCATCATCATCATCATCATCATTATCAGCATCATCATCATCCACCTCCTCCCTCTCCAGGAAACTCGGGGGGCCACCGAAGGCCTTCGAAAACCACCGGCGGCGTCGAAGATCCCAGCAAAGGACGACGGCGCCGACGGCGACGGCGACCACGACCACGACTACGACCACGCCCACGACCACCACCACCACCACCATCACTACGACGACGACGACGACCACAACGACGACCATGACCACGACGACCATGACCACGACGAAGACTACGACGGACGACGGACGACGACGACGACGACGACGACGACGACGACAACGACGACGACGACGACAAGCACCACCATCACCACGACTCCTGGCCGCCGCGCTCCGCGGCGCGCCGCGCGTGCGAAGGGGCCGGGCGGCGTCGCCGACGTACGACCGGCCGTCCTAGGGCGGGGGGATTTCCAGTCTGCGGGCGGGTGGGCTTGCGAGGAGGTCGCTTGGGTGGGCTTGCTTGGTGGACTTGTGGGCTTCCGTCCTTTCGGTTCGGCCAGAAAGTTCGCAGAGGAGAAAGACTGGGAGGTTTGAGGGCGGCTTTTCGTCGGCGCGGCTGGACGCACCGCACAAGGCTGGCCAGGATGGACCTCGGGAGGGGGCCCAGAAGCGATCTTCAAAAACAAAACAAAACTAAATGGTCAGACGCAGTCGACGACGTCATCGTCCTTTTCGGAGGTCGTGAGGTACGTCGGTTGCTTGGGGAAGTTGTCGAGGGGGGCATGGATGTTTCTGGAGCAGGAGGACGACGACGACGACGAGCAAGAGGAGCATGAGGGGGCGGGGGGAGGAGAGAGAGAGAGAGAAAGAGACGAGGAGGAGCAGGAGGATGACGGGGAGGGGGAGGAGGGAGAAAGACGAAGAAGAGGTGGAGGACCAATGCAAACCCAACACTCATCAACGATATTGCAATAAACCATCTCTCCAAGTTCCGTTTTTCACAGACACCTACACAAGTTCACTCGTACTGAGGGAAGTCCCCCGTTGGAAAACAAACGTTCGTGCATCTGGATCTGCGGCAGAAGACCATTCCTGGGACTTCAACACCGCGAATTAACGTAACTGTCGCGCCCTCACAGTGAGACATCGTGCCAAAACACCACTCCTGGGAAGTAAATCATAAGAATCCGCCGACCCTGTCGGCGTGTGGAAGAGACGCATCCTGGTGTCGTCGCCGTGCGTGGATCACCGTCGTCGTCGTCGTCGTCGTCATCGTCGTCGCCCGAAATAAAAGAAAATCGAACACGAAACAGAAAGATATCGTAGTGGTGGCGAAGCCCCTCCCTACCCTCCCCACAGGGAGAGGGGGGGATCCTGGAGGGGGGTCCCGGGGGGGTCCGGGGGGGGGGTCGCCACCCAGATACGCACCCTCCCCCCCGCCTACTTTTCTGATTGTTTTGCCCATCCCAAACATGTGGGGGAGTGTCCTCCTCCCCCCTCTTCGCCTCCCCCTCCTCCCTCCTACCTCCCTCCTCCTCGGGAGGGGCCTTGCCTACCTCCTCCTCCTCCTCCTCTCCTCCTCCTCCTCCTCCTCCTCCTCCTCCTCCCTCCTCCTCCTCCTCCTCCTCCTCCTCCTCCTCCTCCTCCTCCTCCTCCTCCTCCTCCTCCTCCTCCTCCTCCTCCTCCTCTCCTCCTCCCCTCCTCCCCTCCCCCTCCCCCTCCCCTCCCCCTCCCCCCTCCCTCCTCCCCCCTCCTCCTCCTCCTCCTCCTCCTCCTCCTCCTCCTCCTCCTCCTCCTCCTCCTCCTCCTCCTCCTCCTCCCTCCTCCTCCTCCTCCTCCTCCTCCTCCTCCTGCTCCCCCTCCCCTTCCTCCTCCCCCCCTCCTCCTCCTCCTCCTCCTCCTCCTCCTCCTCCTCCTCTTCCTCCTGATCTCTCAACCTTCAGCGATCGCGCCCTTCCGATAGCACAGATCGTTCGGTATTGGCCGTCCCGAGCTGCGGGCAGGGTTTCCGCCGCGTGAACGCGGAGCGAATCTGCATTAGCCCTCCCCCGAGGGGCAACGGGCTGGGGGACCAGCTCAAGGGCGGAAACATCGACCAGGAATCGGCAAGAATTTCATGGCCGATAGATCGGCAGTAGGCCCCCGCTAGCAAATCCGCACGGTCCTGGTCGGGGTGGGCTATGGGCCCCTATCGGAGATGAATGGCCGCCCCCCGCCCCCCCCCCTGCGCGCGCGGGGTGCCGCCGCCGCCGCCGTCGTCCTCCTCGTTCTCCTCCTCCTCGTTCTCCTCCTCCTCGTTCTCCTCGTTCTCCTCCTCCTTCTCCTCCTCCTCCTGCTGCTCCTCCTCCTCCTCCTCCTCCCTCCTCCTCTTCGTCCTGGCGGTTTTTCGGGTCATACCTCGGGCCTCTGGCGGCTGCTCGGGACGATCCGGGCAAGCCTGGAAAGCTCTCGCCGAGGCGAAGCCACTCAACGGCATCCCTGAGGCTGGAAAGCCGCCGAGAACCAACGAAAACGCCAAAAACCCTCGCACTTCGAACCTCGAGCCTATCTCTCCACCCTAATGTTGCCCCTGATGCTCAGACACTCGCCGCTGCCCCCCCAAGGCCGCGCTCAGTCCTTCCAGCAGAAAACTCCAGAGCCGTGCATCTTGCCGGCGACCCACTGCCCGTCGAAGTGCCGTCCGTCGCGCCAGCTGCGCAGAGGGCAGGGCTGGTGGGGGAAAGGAGAGAGGAGCGGACTCCACCTCCTCCTCCTC